GATGATGATAAGAAAAACAGATATGTCAAAATATATTACAAGTATACTTTAAAGGCAATAAATCAATTTTCACTTTATTTATTTATCACTACATAGTATAAAACAAAGTCGCTTTCTCTATCCCTATATCCCTATGTACGCTTAAATCTCTAAAACTACGCAACGGATTTTGGTGCGGTTTTTCATAGAGAGTGATTGAAGAGGAAGGTTTATATGTATAAAAACATCCATTAAATAGTTGAGAAATTGAGTAATAGCATTGCACACGTTTGAAGCCGAGACAGGCAGCTAGTTATATAGAAAAAAAATCCAACTGCATTGAAAAGTCGAAAAATAAGCGAATTTAGCTAAGGAAAGTTTTAAATGTTTGTTCCGTGTGATGTGTATGTGAAATTGTATGTTTGTAAACGCATCGACGACAAGGGCGGATCCACCGTTGTGGGCACGATGGGCATGCCCACAACCTTACTACACTTGTGATTGAAATAGGTTTGGATCGAAACTGACTTTTAGAAATTAGAAGAAATCGTGTCCGACTTCTTCCTAAGTTTATTTACATTCCTAAGGCCAAATTTCTGATGCTCGGAAAAAAAGAAATCTAATTCATAAGTTCATAAACGATTTGCATGATTGTTAATGAGCATGTCCTTGCTCCGACTCGTACTTAGCCGATTTTCTGGTAGCTGTCACCACAACCTTTTTTGAAGGCTGGATCCGCGCTTGATCCACGACACAGGAGAAAAGTTTTAGAATCACATAAAAAGTCATTTCAGTAGATTACAATATAAAGATTACATCTAACATTATTAATCTATGCTTTATTTTATTTATTTATAAAGTCTACAGTTTATAAAAAACCCCATTTTTTTTGGTATTTTTTCCAAAACGTTTTTGACATCCTAACTACGTTATAGATTAACTATACAATATGTTTAAAAACTAATCAACTAAACAATCGGTTCAAGTATTATTATGTATTTCATGTTTCTTTTAGTTTTTCTGATAATCCAAACATATATTATAAATTCGAAAGTAACTCTGTCTATCTGTCTTTTCTTCATGCCTAAACTACTCAAACGATTTCTGTGAAATTTGGTACAGACATAGTTTGGAACGCGAAAAAGGACATCGGATAGTTTTTATACCAAAACTCTGCAGGTAGTCACTATACCACGCGAAGGAAAAGCTAGCGTTATAATATTTTGTTTTCAAAAGTTCCTGTGTACTATAGTAAATAGCTTTTTGTTGATTTTTTTCAAACACATTGTATAGACGAAGTTTAATTTCATATAATATTTTCTTTTTTATGTACAACTTTAATATCTTTCTATTTACCTATCTAACCCTATATATACAGAGGTATATTTATACATACATATACATTATTTACTACGATACTTACCACCGGTTTCCGAAAGCCCGATCAATGTTAAAATCAATTTAATCTCTTGTCAAGTCATCTGATTGGTTGACTGGATTATCAACAACCAATCAGATGACTTGACAAGAGATTTAACAGGAGATTAGCTAATTTTAGCGTTGACAAGCCTTTCAGAAACCGGGCGTTAGAGAGATGTAAAGGCTACTAAACCCAGTCCTTGGCAAACGCTTTTGGATTATTTCGGAACCATTCAACCTCTTTTGAAGTACCTACTGCAGTTATATTTGTAGGTTTCTAATCTTATTTTCTTTAATCCATCGAGAATAATAAAAAAAATATTAGACAAGTACTCAAAATAAGGTTATCTTTGGAACAGCTGGTCGGATTTCCAAAATTCTTTCACTGATAGATAGCTACAATGTTCTTGAGTGCTATAGGGTAAAACATCACGCTACGACCAATAGGAGCAGCGAGGGAAACCGCGCGAGAGTAGCTAGTGTCTAATATATTTATTTTATCAAACCGATTGATATAAATAATCTTTTAGACACACATCACTGTTATCCTCAAAAACCTGTGGAACGAACCTACCATGATATTTTTTTTATCATTTTTATATTTAATTTATTTTATGAATCCACTTTTATTATTAATTAATATTAAAATACTAATATGGCGGCATTATTTTCTAATGAAATTTACAACTAAATAATTATATAAGGCTAGTTTTTCTTTTAACTAATGACCGCACTCTTTGATCCATTTAATGATGATACAATTTACAATCTTGTTCTATAAATCACTCTGAGTACTGTGGTTAGAATATGCGAAAAAGACACCAAAATTAATATGAAGTTTTTTTACCTTCCAATATATAAATTTATTTGCCAATATATGGCTTTTATCACGCATGGTAGTAAGCGATGATGCGACCTACGATGGAGCACGTCTACCCATAAGCAACCTATTCACTCGGGCCTTGAAGACACCCAGGTTATACCTTTCGGAGAACACAGACTCCGGCAAAGAATTCCACTCCTTAGCGGTTCTGATTATAAAACTGGAGGCGAACCGCTTCGTGCGTGTAGGTGGGATATCCACCATGAAGCGATGACGTTTTGCCGATTGTATTGTGGTATGATGGTGGAAAAGACTATGGGGAATCAAGTCTATTGAAAAACAAAATAATGTTTTTATAATAACTATCGTGAGACATACTAAATTAACTAAAAATCGCGGGTTACTCACATGTATATATTGAGAAAAGCTCGACTAGTTTCGAACCACAGAGGGGTTCTTCCTCATGAGCAGAGTGCGCGGACGCGGCGACGTCGCGCAGCCTACTAGCGCGACGTCGCCGCGTCCGCGCCGCCCGCGATTTTTAGTTGAACAAAATAATGATTCTTTGGAAGGAAGGCTTGCAAACTTAATATTAATTTTAGTTATAATCGCATTCGAAATATGACTAAGCGACTGACGATTAAAAAAACATTACAATTCAGTCAAATAACAACTACCGATACGCAGTCAAGAATATCACAACTTAGGTACAATACCGCCGCCGTATCTTGGCGAGTCTGAAGTTAGCCGATTAGCTGCGCAGTACACAATTTTGTTCCTAAAAGATCCATTGCGCAGACAAACGGCTAACTTCAGACTCGCCAAGATACGACGGCCGTACTGTACACATTTTTTTTTATTTATATACATACATACATATAAGGTACTATATAAATATTACAAATCTCTGTGTACTTGACATTAAGTCAGATCAAATAGTTATTTCCAATGATGTATTATAATATAGAAACGTTGTCTACCGACATTTCGGCGCTTGAAATAGGGCGACAATACTAGAACTACTTATTTGCGTAAAGAAAAAGACAGAAAATATGACAGTGTACGGCAGGATGCCTGTTGTTAGAGTGAGATAAATATAATATTACAACAAAAAAACTAGTGTCTTGTAACTAACTAACTGTAACTCTGATTTTTTTTATGTAATAATACGGCAAACGAGCGTACGGATTACCTGATGGTAAGCAATCAGCGCCGCCCGTGGAAACCCGCAACGGAGGAGTTACGAGTGCGTTGCCGTAAGGGATTAGGGATTGGAGATTTAGGCACTGGGGAAGGGTCCGGGGAGGGGATGGATTGAGCCTCCGGTTACCTCACTCACACGACGAAACACAACGCTGTGGTTGTTTCACGCCGGTTTTCTGTGAGGCCGTGGCATCACTCCGGTCGAGCCGACCCATTCGTGCCGAAGCATGGCTCTCCCACACTTGAATTGAATATTGTGCGTTTTGTTTTGTCTAATCTAGCCAGTTGAAATATGGAAGAAAATTTTTAGAAGACTGACGAAAATTCAGACGCGACAGCATCATAATTATTCCCTAGCTAACTTTTATCTAACCATTGAAAAATCAGCCCTTAATCTTTATACATATATAAAAATGGATCGCAAAATGTGTTGGTAAGCGCATAACTCAACAACGCCTCGACCAATTTTGCTAATTCTTTTTTTGTTGTATTTTTTATCGTCAGGAGAAGGTTCTTATCGAAGAAAATATTAGAAAAGTAGAGGGGAAGATTAGGAAAAAGTGACCCTTTGATAGCGAGATAGTTGGACCCGTGCGAAGCGGGGGCGGGCCGCTAGTACACAAAATAAAAATTTCTTGACGATATCAAGTACACAATTAATTAGCATAATATTATATTATAAAAGATTCCTTTGTCTGTTTATTTCTGGGTAATTCGGAACTCATTTGGGGGATGCCTATAGAGTTATTGTGGGGACAATGACGATGGTGATGATTATAAGTTTCCCGAACAAATTACTGAAACTGACTGTTTTCAGACACAATAGAAATTTTTATTATAACTTTCGTGAGACATTCTTAATTATTTATTATGTTTTCGGCTTACTCACGTAATATTCAAACTCAAAATTCTTTCACTCATAGATAGCTACAATGTTCCTGTGTGCTACTTACTCGCGTAATAATTTGAGGAGATACTCGACTAGTTTCAAGCCATGCTGGAGGCCCATATTCATGAGCGACAGTCGCAGCTGCTCATGAATATGGGCCTCTAGCATGGCTTGAAACTAGTCGAGTATCTCGTCAAATTATTACGTGAGTAAGCCGAAAACATAATAAACAATAGAAATTACTTACTCGCGTGAATTAACTGAGCAACTGTGCCGGCGTTAGGGGGGCTTGATGGGGCGATGGCCCAGGGCGACAAATTGTAAAGGACGCCAAGGCCTGAAGTTGGGGTATCTTGCCTTTCTTAGTGCAAACCCTCAGAACTGTGCTTTACGCTCTGTGCATATACATATTTTTTATGGATTGTTTTTAAGGTGGATTTTTCGAATGTTTCTGGTCGAGGAGTGACTCTAACGACTTGATATTGCTTCCCTGAAGTGGGCGCCTATATAGTTTCGCCCGGAGTTGTCAGTGGCCCTTACGCCGGCACTGTAACTGAGAATAGCTCGACTAGTTTCAAGTCTCAACGGGGCTCTTAGCTCGAGTGATAAGTCAGCTACGCTCACGAATAGGAGTCCCGTTGTGACTTGTCTCTAGTGGAGTGCTCTTCTCAGTTCATTCAGGTAAGCCGTTATTTTCGGTTCACAATAGTTACTATAATGTCTGTCTAGCTCAAATCTACACAATTCAAAAAAATCTTTTACGTCTAACTACAAAAGTGCCGTTTCAACCGGCAATTTAGCGGGCGAAACGGCAACTTCGAGGGTGTTCCTTAATAAATACCTTTTGGGCAGGCTTAATATTATAAATTGAAGCCGCGGAGGTTGTCCAGTCTTCTCTGTAGATCGTCTACTGGGTCTTTGTGTGTGTTCTCTGTTGTGGACTTTCGTCTTTCGCCGCCGGGCGCCATTTGAAAGCCGGTAGGTGCCGTTGACTTGCCCGGACTTTCCGTGCTGCAAAAAAAACATTTTTAAAGATTTTAAGTACCTTATTTATGTATTCAGTGCCGTCATATACGGTTGGCGCAGTGCCTACATAACTGGCTACCGCGCAAAGTGTTGCGGGTTCGATTCCCGCACAGAACAACTGTTTGTGTGATCTACAATATGTTTTTTAATAAAAGCTTTTTTTCTCCTGTGTCGTGGATACGTTTACAAACATACAATGTCACATACACATCACTCCCCAGACTAACGGAACAATTATTCGGGTTCGATTCCCGCACGGAACAACTCTGTGTGATTTTTGTTCCGGGTCTGGGTGTGATGTGTATGTGCATCCACGACACAGGAGAAAATCCTAATTAGGTACAAAGTTTTGTAGTAAATGAAAAACAGTAAAAATACAGTTTTGTAGTGGTAATAATCTATACCTATAATAATCAGTGCTAGCAGCTAAGGAGCTGTCTAAATTGTCGTTCGGGTCCTTGTTGTAGATCCAAACGCCGGCGCGTAGTTTGTGGTCCCGGACTTGGAAGTCCGATCCGTAGAGTCGAGGGGCGCGCGTGAAGTCCACGTTCAACTGTTGCCCTGGAGACAAAACAACGTTATGAAAAACTAACTGCAGTGTATTTTAATTTTAATAAATAAACATAATATATAGAATACTAGTTACTCTCGCGCGGTTTCACCCGCTGCTCGTCTCCATTTGATCGTAGCGTGATGTTTTATAGCCTATAGCACTCAGGAACATTGTAGCTATGTATCAGTGAAAGAATTTTGGCAATCCGACTAGCGGTGCCAAAGATTACCCCCTACATACAAACTTTTTTTCCTGTAATACGTCGGCAAACGAGCAGACATATTACCTGATGGTAAGCAATCAGCGCCGCCCATGGGCACTGGTAATACCATTGGAGTTACTACAAATGCGTTGCCAACCTTTTAGGGATAAGGATTATGGAGATTTGGGGATTGGGGGAGGGGAGAAATATGGGCGGGTAACCTCACTCACACGGCGAAACACAACGCTTTGGTTGTTTTACGCCGGTATTCTGTGAGGCTGTTGTATCACTCCGGTCGAGTCAAAGTTTGGCTCTCCTACGCTTAAAACTGTTATTTTTTGACAGGAACCTACCGTATCAGCTCATATGGCAACATAATTATAATTTCTCTGGTGTAGCGGGTTTAAAAAACGTCTTCAACTAACCTGGATGTAACCTATCATCCTGTCTGAGCTCTCCAAAGCTGCCAGCGATGTCTGTCAACCTTTCGTTGTTGTTAGAAGCCCACACGGGGTCTCGGAGACACTCCCCCGAGGGTGGGTACCAGGGTTTTGAAGGCTTCTCCTTTGTGACTTTCGTGACTTTCGGTGAAGGTTTCGGCTGTGGTGCTGTGGAAGAAATTATTCAGAACCTTAGCGTGACTTGATAAGCCCAATAAGGCACCGCGGCCTCGGCCTAGAGCAGGAGAAGGTACAGGGGGGTTTTTAGTCAGTAAGAGTCTGACACACTCTCTCTCGCCTCACTCTAGGCGGGAGAAGTCATTTGATGAATAACCCCTGACAAAAGAAGCCTGACTTGATAATACCTACATAATATTTTTGGGGACTCTTAGAAAGACTAAAACAAGAACTAGGGGGTTTTTATTCAGAAAGAGATCTGACACAGGATAAGGATGGGGATTAAGACATGCTTTCTCTCTTAGATGAATGTTTTTATTAAGTTGTAGTCTTCTTTCTGCCTAAAGTTTTCTGCCAATTTTTTTGGAGATTTTGACGATTACCACAAGGTAAGCCTTTTAGTTAGGAATGAACTTCTTTTAACTGGCTTAGACAGCCGTCTGCCAAGTATGGTGATTATGACCGTCACTCACTCTCCTAATAGGGGAAGTCTTTGACGTAAGAATCAATTACTACGAACTGTTTTCATCCTTCTGCCAAGTATGATGATTACGACAATCCTCTAAAAGGAGCCTTTTATGTAAGACCTAGCTACGGTCCAGCGATTTCACCCGCTGCTCGCCTCCTACATATCGTAGCGTGTATGTTTTATAGCATAAACCCTCCTCGATAAACGGACCAACGAACACAAAAAGAATTGTTCAATTCGAACCAGTAATTCCGGATATTACGCGTTCAAACAAACAAACAAACTCTACAGCTTTATAATATTAGTATAGACGAGCTTCTACGAACAGTCTTAAGGCATCTGCCAAGTGTGGTGATTACTTACCATCTCCTTCAGCGACGGCGATCCTCTCCCTCCTCTCTTTGACCTTTGGGCTGGCGTCGTCTAGTCCAAGCTCGTTCAGCTCTGCCAGCATTCGCTCTTCACCATCGAAAACGAAATCCCGTTCCGATATTTTCCGTCTCGGTATGGTCGACGGTGGAGACGGGAGTTTTGGAGCTAGAATATTAAAAAAATAATGATTGAGCACTTTTTTATGGTATATGGTACAGGCATGATTCGGCACGAATGTAGGCTCGACCGGAGTGATTTGACGGAAACTTTTTCATCCCTATCACATAGATTGGGTTGGCAGTCAACAACTGTGCGATTCATCCAAAACTTTCTGGATCGCACAGCAAAACGGTGGCATTCCAGAACCGATACGACCTTCAAACCTTCAAGAAACGAGCGTACTCCTTCTTAAAATGCCGGCAACGCGTCTGTGACTCCTCTGGTGTTGCAGGTGTCCATGGGCGACGCTGATCGCTTACCATCAGGTGATCCGTCTGCTCGTTTGCCTCCTATTCCATATAAAAATGTTATACCACGGCCTCACAGAAAACCGACGCGAAACAACCACAACGTTGTATTTCGCCTTGTGAGTGAGGTTACCGGGGACCCATCCCTTTCCAATACTTAAATATTCCGAACCTTTATCCCTAAAAGGCCCGCAATGCGCTCAAAACTCATTTGATGTTGCATGGACACCCTATGGCTGGAGCTGATTGCTAACTATCATAAAGAAACAAAAAACTCACCATCTTTCCTCTCCTCCTTGCCGGGAGTGCCACCACCAGGTGCCCCGGGTCCGGCCAAGAGTTCTGCCAGTTCCTCCTCCAGCTCGGCCGCATCAAAGTCGTCAACGTTGGTGCCCAGCACCTTTTCTACCTCGCTGTATTGATCCATTACCTGTTCAAATATCAGAAATGTATTAGTTAAAAGTTTGAGAGCCATGCTTCGGCACGAATGGGTCGGCTCGACCGGAGTGATACCACGGCCTCACAGAAAACCGGCGTGAAACAACCACAGCGTTGCGTCGCCGTGTGAGTGAGATTACCGGAGACCCAATCCCAAAATCTCCTACTTCCTAATCCCCAGAACGTCGGCAACGCACTCGTAACTGCTCCGTTTGTGCCTAAGTGTTCATGGGCGGCGCTGATTGCTTACCATCAAGTTACTCGTCTGTTCGTATGTAAAAAAACAATACAAGAGTTGTCGTCAGCTAGAGGGCAGACAAACGAATGGAGGTTCCTTGGTTTTCTAGAGGCCCTCCTGTGTGTTATTAGGGATTTGAGGATTCAGGATGACGGTGGAGGGATTGGGCCTCCGGTTTTCTGTAAGGCCGTTTTATGTGGTAAGAAATCGAATATATAGACGGACTAGCTTTTGCACGCGACTCTGTTCGCCTAGAATAGTAGAATAGGGACTTCCTGCAGATTTTTGATATAAAAACTATCCCATGTGAAATCGGTTCAGTAGTTTAGGCGTGAAGAAAAGACAGACAGAGTTACTTCCGCATTTATAATATTAGTATAGATTATAGATTTCCTGATGGTAAGCAATCGGCGCCGCCCACTCTCACACAGTAGCCAGCCAGGCATGATCACCTTGACTAGTCCTGAGGATCCTAATCTTCTAGATCTTAGTGAACCTATGAGACTTACACCCGGTTTCCGAAAGGCCGATCAATATTAAAATCAATTTAATCTCTTGTCAAGCCATCTGATTGCTTGACTGAATTATCAACAACCAATCAGATGACCTGACAAGATATTTAACAGGAGATTAGTTAATTTTAGTGTTGACAAGCCTTTCAGAAACCGAGTGTGAATCGCACTTACTTCTTTCAAATCATCCATAGTGTCGTGGACGGCATCCTCATCCAACGCATTATCCTGCAAGTTGCGTTTCATCGCGTCTGAACTGGTTCTGAAAAAGAAACAAACACGTAGGTTTTTGAATTAAAAATATTTCTGTAGTAAAATCCACATCACACTAAAAGAAAAAGCAGGATTTGTCACGTATGCCATTAAGTACCACAATATCTATACTAATATTATAAAGACGCAAAATTTGTAAGTTTGTATGTAGGAGGTAATCTTTGGAACCGCTGGTTGTATTGTCAAAATTCTTTCACTGATAGATAGCTACAATGTTCCTGAGTGCTATAGGCTATAAAACATCACGCTACGATTAAATGGAGCCGAGCAGCGGGTGAAACCGCGTGAGAGTAGCTAGTAATATATAAAATAACTAGCTTTTGCCTGCGACTTTGTTCGCGTGGAATTGTGACTTCCTGCAGATTTTTGGTATAAAAACTATCCTTTGTCCTTTCTCGAATTCCAAACTATGTCTGTACCAAATTTCACAGAAATCGGTTTAGTAGTTTAGGCGTTAAGAAAAGACAGACAGAGTAACTTTAGCATTTATAATACTTGTTTGGATTCCTATTTTCCTAAAGATATAATAAGTAAATAGGTAGTATGTGTAGTTTAACACTGGCAAAATAAACAAATTTAATAATGCTATACTATAATTGGGTAGTTTCTTAGGACAAAAATAAATGAATTTAAAGTTTCAATACAATAAAATAATAGGTCTTTATCTATGAAATTGCCGTTCTGCAGTACTGGCCATTTCAAATCAAAATAGTTTTTATTAGGCTAAGGCTAATTAATTTTGTTTTAAAAACATGGGATTCGTTTTCCAAAAGTAGTCATTTGTTTATTGATTAGTGTTACATTTTCATCGCATTTCAAATCAAAAAATTCGTTTTAATTTTTTCATGCAAAACGGCAATTTCATAGGTAAACACCTATTATTGACAAATAACTATACTTTTATTCGTCGATCTGTCCATACACTACATGTTCGATATTTTTTAGCTAATATTTAAGAAATCACGCTACGACTAATAGTAGCTGAGCAGCAACGACTACAGACTATGTTATTATTTTATTGTTGATACTTTTTTGTGTTAATTTTACCAAAGCCAAAATATATGTAGTCTGTGTACCTCGATATCATTTTACACAGGTGTATTTTTTTTTTTATGTGATAGGTAGGCAAACGAGCTGACGGATTACGTGATGGTAAGCAATCAGCGCCGCCCATGGACACCCGCAACGGAGGAGTTACGAGTGCGTTACCGACCTTTTAGGGATTAGGGATTTGGAGATTTAAGGATTGAGGAGGGATTGGGGGAGGGGAAGGATTGGGCCTCCGGTAACCTCACTCACACGGCGAAACACAACGCTGTGGTTGTTTTACGCCGGTTTTCTGTGAGGCCGTGGTATCACTCCGGTCGAGCCGACCCATTCCTGCCTAAGAATGGCTCTCCCACACTTATCACACCCGGGAGAAGAGGAAAGATGGTGATTAGTGACAAAAGCATTTTTCTGCACTCGCATCCATACCTGTATGTATCAACGATGGCCACATTGACGTGTACGTCTCGCATCTGTTGCAGCAACTGTCTCACGTTCTCGAGCGCGTTACTGCAACGTTCTAGACGTAAATTCGTTTTGTGTTTGCGGCGTAGATGGTTCTTGGCCTGAAATATATAAATTGAGGTTAATATTTATATTTATATCCGACTTTTTTTTATGTAATAGCTCGGCAAACGAGCAGACGGATTACCTGATGGTAAGCAATCAGCGCCGCCCATGGACACTCGCAACGGAGGAGTTACGAGTGCGTTGCCGACCTTTTAGGGATTAGGGATTTGGAGATTTAGGGATTGAGGAGGGATTGGGGAAGGGGAAGGATTGGGCCTCCGGTAACCTTCGCATGGGTGCAATGCTGATACTAAATATCTCCACTATATAATGGATGTTATTATACATATAAACCTTCCTCTTCAATCACTCTATCTATTAAAACAAGTCGCATCAAAATCCGTTGCGTGGTTTTAAAGATTTAAGTATACATAGGGTCAGAGAGGTACAGAGAAAGCGACTTCGTTTTATACTATGTAGTTTTTATCTTAGCTATTTTTTTTTATAGTTTATATATCAAAACTAGTAGTAACGTTATCCAAAAATCATCACATTTAACCCCTATTCATTTTGAAATACCTATCCAACAATATATAACACGTAAATTGAAAAAAAAAACACTATACGTTTAAGGGGCTACCCTAGTAAAAACAAAAAACACTTTTTTTACCACTTTATCGGCGTGATTAATATACATATTGGTGCCAAATATAATACATATGGAGGCCCAATCCTTCCCCGCCCCCAATCCCTCCTCAATCCCTAATCCCTAAAAGGTCGGCAACGCACTCGTAACTCCTCCGTTGCGAGTGTCCATGGGCGGCGCTGATTGCTTACCATCAGGTAATCCGTCTGCTCGTTTGTATCTCCAATTACATATATACATACATTTAGCTTTCTTGTGCTGAAAGTTACAAGGATTATCCGCGGACGGGCAGACAGACAGATATGGCGAAACTATAAGGGTTGCTAATTTACTACAGAATCCTAAAAATTAACTTTAAATCTATCTATTGGATGGTAAATAACATAAAAACCAACTTACAGCCAGTTTATTCCCGACATTCAGCGCTGCTTTGGCGTCAGCCTGCGCCATGGCGACGTCTCTCGCCATCCGCAGGGCTTCGCCCTCCAACCGAGTCTCCGCACACATCAACTTGACAAGCGCTTCATCCGTTTCAGTGACTGGTGACACTTTCTTGTCCGGTTCAGCTGTTAACGAGAGAAAGAAATATTAATATTGTTTTTTTTCTTCGTATATCTAATTGTTGATGACGATAAAATAAGGTTTTAGTGGAGTTGCATTTTTTTATGTAATAGGTCGGCAAACGAGCAGACGGATTACCTGATGGTAAGCAATCAGCGCCGCCCATGCACACTTATAATTGTAAAGAAATTACTACAACTGCGTTGCAGACATTTTGTTATTTATTAGGGTTTTAAAGATAAGGGATTTGAGGATTAGGATGGGGGGGGAGCTGGGCCTCCGGTAACCTCAATCACACGGCGAAACACAAAGCGAGTGTTTTAAAACTATTGTATTAATACTGCTGACAACAAATTTATTCCAAAGTTTTGCAAACACCATCGAATGGAGTTCTACTCGCATTCGTGTGGGTTTCGAGATACCTCGAATGGTTTCAAGCCACGCTAGAGCTCATATTTTTGAGCAACGCGGCTTGAAACTAGTAGAGAGGGTTTTTGTATTTTATTATGATATAGAGGCCAAAGGAGCAGACGGATCACCTGATGGTAAGCAATCGATTCCACCCATGGAGTTCAGCAGACAAGAGAATTATCAGCCGTTCAGAGATGTCGGGCTGCCGCTTACCTTACACGGCGCCAAACGCGGTTTCAAGCCGGTTTGTCTCGAGAAAAACAGTGTAATACTGATAGAGAATTATTTTATAGTTGTTTTTGTATATTCAGGGAAAGGAGAAGGGGGGATAGACATATTGCATTAAGTTGTGCAATTACCACAATCTTATCTGATAAGATTCTTTTTAGAAAACGTCATAAGAGCTAAGCTTTGCTTTTAATAGTCCCAACAGGTTCGTACAAGTAGCATTTACCTTCTAGTCGGGGTTTTTTAATGAGGGGAAAGTTATCAACTAATTTGTCTTGCCCAGGTTAAGGCGAGAGAGAATGTCAGACTCTTACTGACTAACCCCCCCCGTTCTCCTGCTATAGGCTCTTTGAGGCGCGCGCGAAACGCTACGCGCCGTGCGCTTGGGTCTGGTCGAGGGACGAGCTACCCTTACTAGCCGTCCGCAGACCCGCGATTACGGTAGTCAGGGTGCGGGCGCAAACGCAATTATCTACTGCAGACCCAGTATGGAGCAAGAAAAGGAACGCGGTGGTTTTTAGTCAGTAAGAGTCTGACACTGTCTCTCGCCTTACCTTGGGTGGAAGAAGTTATTTAATGATTTTACTCCTTTTCGCATCTAGGGCAGGAGAAGTCATTAGATGATTTACATACTTCGGCACGAATGGGTCGGCTCGACCGGAGTGATACCACGGCCTCACAGAAAACCGACATAAAACAACCATAGTGCTGTGTTTAGCCGTGTGAGTGAGTTACCGAAGTCCCAATTCTTCCACACCTATGTTAATTCTCAAATCCCCTATCCTTAAATCTCTAATAACCCACAAGAGGTCGTCCACACACTTGTAGTAACTCATTTGGTATTCCAAGTGTCCATGGGCGGCGCCGATAGCTTACCATCAGGTAATCCGTCTGCTTGTATACATAAAAAATTTTCAACTCACCCAATTTCACAACATCACCCTTCTTGACAGCAGCTCCTTGAGACACCAGGTACCCGAGAAGCAGTTCGAATGTCTCCCTGCTATGCGTCCACTCACAGTTGCGGATCAGTTCTTCGATGGTGCCCATACGTTCCACACCGGGGGGATATTTCTGGAGGAGTTCCGTTGCTTGCTCCTGTAATTTTGATACATTATTAGGCTATAAGTGCTTAATGATGAGCAAAGGCCTCTTCTCAAACGGTGAAGGTTTGAGCATTAACCATTACATTTGCTCAAGGCAGATTGGCGATTTCAAACTTATCTATACTAATATTATAAAGATTTTTTTTGTTTGTTTGAACGCGCTCATCTCCGTAATTACTGGTTCAAATTGAACAATACTTTTTGTGTTTGTTAGTCCATTTATCGAGGAAGGCTATAAGACTATAAAACATCACGCTACGATCTGTAGGAACAGAGCAGCCGGTGAAACCGCGCGAGATAAGCTAGTAATTAATAATTATAAGATCAGGCTTTCCTCACAATGTTTTTCTTCACCATATGTCAGTCATTAATGGTGTCTACATTAACATATAACTCGGAAAGTCACATTGGTACTTGCCAGGTTTCGGACCTCCAGACCACCACAACAATTGTTATAATAAAACTAAAAAAATACTCACTTTAATAGCACTCTCCAGCACAAATCTTTGTGTTGAATCAATACTGGCTTTCGGTAACCCATCATTGTCCACAGCTTGTCTATTCGGCATAAATGAAGCTACAGCAGTCAGCGCTAGGGCTGCAGGCTTGAAAGCCAGCCGAGCACCCCACTTGACCCATCCTTCGGGCCCATTGTGGAGGATTTGCTGGTACTTTGATAAGGGACATAGATCTCCGTTGCTGTGGAGAGAAATATCTCAATTAGAACCACAAAATCATTAATGAAATAAAAGTTGTTGCCCACACTATTATTGGGTAATTTCCTAGGTCAAAAACAGCTATAGCTACAGCTAGATCCAAACTGCCATTTTATGTTTTGATGCAAAATACAAATAATATATTTAATACTTTTTTAAATTTATGTAATAGACCATTTTTATTTTATTCGGTCAATTGATAATATTATTAAATTGATTTAGCAATTTAATAACTAATATAATTTTGTCACAATTACTATTGTATGCCTAAAATGGTGGAGCAGTGCAAGAGCACAACAACCTGTAGAACAACTTCTTTAACCGCTGTCTCACAATAAAGATCTTTGAGTTTGACTTAGAAAAATAAATGATTTCGATGTTTCAATACAATAAAACATTGAAAAATAACCATTCAAATTGAACAATTATTTGTATTGATTTGATAGAAGAGGTAGGCCATGATAAATACAAGAGGAACCAATAGGATTTGAGTACCATGTGAAACTGTCCAGGAGTTGCTAATTACCGATTTCGAAAAAAGGAGGAGGTACTACGTTCAGCTGATTGTTTTTTTTTTACAATGTGTATAGCATGAGAATATATATGAGGAGTATTTTATCAGATCCCATTATTCATCCATCCATCCATTACAGTCAAAAAAAATTCTCAATAGTAGAAAAAAACAAGTTTATTTTATCAGAAGGAAAAAAACCGACATATTAATAGAGTTCCATAACATGTTAAATAATAATATGTATTGCACAATATTATTATCAACCATGTGTTGATGACAGAGAATACAATTGTAACCAAACTCGTGTGTGCCTATTTGTCGAATAAATGTGTTTTCTTTCTTTCTTTCTTCTTTCTAAACTCAACTCTTTTTGCAGATGTTATAAGATTCATCATCAAAGAGGTAGCAGGTGTGACGTGGAACAGAGTGGCTCAAGTAAGGACAGAATGGAAAAGGTTGGAGGAGGCCTTTGCCGATTGGCAAACAGATCTGCAAAAGATCACCAAACAACAAATAATGGACAAACACCTGGTTTCTGAAAGGCTTGTCAACACTGAAATTAACTAATCTCCTGTTAAATCTCTTGTCAAGTCATTTGATTGGTTGTTGATAATTCAGTCAACCAATGAGATGACTTGAAAAGAGATTAAATTGATTTTAACATTGATCGGCCTTTCGGAACCCGGGGTTTTTTTTAAACTTTAAATTTCTTTAGTGTAATATAAATTAACTAAAAATCGCGGGTTACTCACGTGTAAGTATTGAGAAAGTAGGCTGCGCCACGTCGCCGCGTCCGCGCACGCTGCTCATGAGGCTGAACCCCTCTGTGGTTCGAAACTAGTAGAGCTTTTCTCAATACTTACACATGAGTAACCCGCGATTTTTAGTTAATTTAGTATGTCTCACGATAGTTATTATAAAAACATAGTGTAATATAATGTAAACGTAACATAATGTAAGTTAAGGGTCTGAATAAAAGGCTATATTATTATTAAAAGATTTACAGACATACAATAAAATTCTGGACTGTCTCAATGTTATTGATATATTTATTCAGATTGGGCCTATAGTTGGAACATTTCTCATCAGCCTATAAGTGTCCACAGCTGAGCTAAGGCTTCTTCTCACATGGAAAAGCAATAATCCCAACTCTTGCTCAAGGAAGATTGGCTATTACAAACTTATAATTAGAAATTATAAGTCCAGGTTTTGTCATGATGGTTTTCTTCACCATTTGTTGGTAGTGTCTTATTAATCATAGAAAGTATATATTACTTAGAATAACATCTTAAATTTGTTTACAACCTCTTTACTGTGTACTAGTCTATAGATGCATTATAGATGTTGGATTTGTTTTAAAATGACGACAGTATAGAAATGTAAAAAGTTTATCTCAAATGACAATAGACAAGTCTGCTCCTTCATTATTCTCATCATATCAATTAAAAGGATATAAATAAAAATAAAGTGTATTTATCAAACATAACACGTTTAGTAGTTTACTGTACTAGAAGATAGAACAGGCTCAGTAATTATTTTACTCTAAAAATATACTTATAATAAATTTCTTCTCAGAAAAACGACCACAGCCCTTGTTATTTAGGTGTACATTATACAAAAAATAATAATAGAAAGAGCGGGAACCGTATTATAATGTCACCATAGAGAATAACCACTGGGCTGGGATAAGTTACTAAATAATAAAAAAACACTCACCGATACATTTCTTCGACAACGATGTCGAGACAAGCGGGAGTCCGTCCCTTACGATTGAAGGCATTTTTGGCATCCGCAGCAGACACTATAGGTTCCTTCCTACTTCTGCACCACTGTCGCAGCATATCAGACCAAAATTTCATCTTCATATCCCAGGATTCGGGATTCGCGGCCTTAATCCTGAACGGTGCAAATAATGCATTCATCCGTACATCGTCAGACCAACACTGAGGCAGCTCAGCCTCCGGTATGCCACCTGGTAGACCCATTATTGATTAACAACGCTATTTTGACGGTTAAATTTTGATTTAAGTTGTTCTAAAACTGTGATTTTTGTAATACAAAATGATAGAGTGACTTCCGCACACAATGGCGTGCGAAAAATTTTGACGTTTGTTTGGTGATACCAGAAAGCTTATGAAAAATATTACCATTTTCTTAAAGAAAATTGTGTTTCTAGTAATCACTTTTGTAGAAATAAAAGGCTTGTGGCTAGTTGTGGATGATTTGATAGTGATTATTTTCCATAATGACCATTTACTTATGAATTAAGTAAATTATAGAAAAAAACAACTCATGAGACGGAATAACGAAACGTGTTTCATAATTTATTGCTAGCAACATCAATCAGAGAAACGTCAACAATTTTTTTTCGTACATTCCGCAATTTGGACCATTTTTAATCTGTGTCAACTTTCGTGCAGCGTTCCTATTGTATTGGGAAACGGTATTTTCCTAATTTTCCACGTTGTTATACGAATAAATTGTATAAAGTGAATCAAGGGCACATTCAACATTTCTCAGCCGGTAAGTTTTCCAAACAAAAATAAACCACGAAACCGTTATAAATCCTATAAGATTTGGTTGGTCACGACACACATAACATAAAGTATCGTCTTTTAAATGCAAATTCCTCTGCTAAATGAAGTTTCAGGTATTAAATATTTCGTTGAGCATTTTTTAGACGTATATTACATCACACGAGCGAGTTAAAACTTTATTTGTGGTTGTATTCGTTTCGTAGATATCTGAGAAGTTGTAAAACTGGTTTGGCCGATGTACTTCAGTAATTACTTTAAACTTTGAGCTCTAGAGTCGTTATTTACTTAGTTATTTTAGTGCGCAAATAAAAAACTCGACAGTAGGATGAATGATTGTTACCTTGGTCAGATATTATCGATTTAAAAAACTAAATGTTTTGTTATCTGTAAATAAAAGTTTTATTCGTTTTTTTTATTATATTCAACAAGCTGTTTCTATTTGTTTAAATTTATGAGTAGCAATAGGAATATTTTTCAACTTTTTTATTACCATTTTAACTTCATTATTAATGATATTTAAAATTTATAACTACTGATTTTATGAGTAATAATGATATTATTTAGAATATTATATCATGCATCTATATCTAAGTTAAAACATAGTTTATCATCCTTGTAACGCCTATCTATACAAGATTATCAGTAAAGATAAACAAACTGACACACTCAGATTTTATTAACAATAGAATCATTCTCAGTCATGAAGAATCAGTCAGAATTTTCTGGAAAATAAAAAACAAATTATGAATCTGTTTTGTTATTAAAGAACATTTTATAATCTCTTGTAAAGGAGTTATAAGTTTAGTACTTTTTTTTAAACATTGCCCCACACTTGAATTTTCTCCTGATCTGTGGGTGTGTTTACAAACATTCAATTTCACGTACATACAACACCCGAACCTGCAACAAGTTGTGCCATGCGGGAATCAGACCCGCAACATGTTGCAAAGCAGTCAGTTGCCCAACCACGGCACCAATCATGCATATTACAACATATACAATGGCAATGTATATGAAGGCATATACTCCATATTCTGGGTGTCTTCATAAGCGACTAGCGCGCGGTTTCACCCGCTGCTCAGCTCCATTTGATTGTAGCGTGATGTTTTAGCCTATAGCACTTAGGAACATTGTAGCTATCTATCAGTGAAAGAATTTTAGCAATCCAACCAAGTGGTTCCAAAGATTACCCCCTACATACAAACTTAAAAATTTTACCTCTTTATAATATTAGTATAGATAGTTGATCACGGACAATTTGGTCTCCAGTGCCCCAACTTACAGGGAAAACACAATACGATTTATTATCTATATTTATATAATCAGTGACTAAGCAAGCACTGGTAACCTTCTTTTTATATTCAAAGGTCAGATACTTATCTATTTTTGATAACATTTATGTAGTATTTTTGTTATCTAATGCATTCAGTTTATACCTAAATAAGTTTTAATTCTTAAATACTTAGGTTTTACATTTAATAAGTGACCTTTTTTGATGGTTTATTTTTTTTTTAAGTTGACAAGACTATGTTCATACTAGCTTTTGCTTGTGACTTTGTTCGCATGGAAAAGTGACTTCCTGCAGATTTTGGGTTTAAAAACTATTCTATGTCCTTTCTCGAGTTCCAAACTATGTCTGTGCCAAATTTCACACAAATAGGTTCAGTAGTTTTGGCGGGAAAAGAAGATAAACAGACAAACAGAGCTACTTTCGCATTTATAATATTAAGTTTGGATTACGTGTATTAAAAAGATATCATTTGTTGGATACCTACATACATTATCTTGTGATTAAATATACCTTAATAATATGAATTAATATTATTTCTAAGTAATCTGTTAGCCTCTTAACGCGTCTCCGATTACCTACGTAAAGATATAAACGCGCCATTTTAAAAAAAAAACTTGATGTAAATCCAGCATAGACTAATTTTGACTTTTTAAAATGAACTAGGTGTGAGACATAGTTATCGTCACAGGAATAACATTGATATTAAATATCTAACAGTTGTTCTCGTAGGTCAATTAGGTATACATAGTTTGTAACACAATCACATTGCAAATCGGTTGAATAGGTTGCTTATGGGTAGGGGAGGTGGGCCCAAAACGGGTACACTAAGGGATATTTACAATAAAAAATTGGTAGAAAAGAAAATTAAACTTCTATTTTTACTTTTCAAATTATGTAACTAATAAAGAATCTAAAATTAGAACAAACATAAAAAAAAATCTTCAGAATTCGAACAAAAACGAAAAACAAAAAAAACCTTCAATCTACCCGTTTTTCCCCATGTGGTGCCTAAAACGGGTACGGCGTTTGGGCAAAACGGGTATAAGGTAATTATCGAGATCAATGGATTCTTCTTTTTCATTGCAGTCTTCATTATTAAACTTATTACACTTTCTTCGATCATCATTCATCATAAATCAACTTGTATCGTCTCAATTATTAACTATAAAATTAAAGTTATTCCTGACAGCCATCACAATAATAGGAACCTCTACCAGAATAAGTTGTGCACGCCTCGTGGGCCCACATTTGACAATCATCGCATTTGATCCAGTCCTCTATAGGCGGGTATGAGTATAACTCTGAACAAACCAAGCATGGGTATTCGGTTCCGTGATCTTCATTATCCTTTGGTCCTCGCTTGTACCTTTTTTGCTTATTTGTCTTACTAGTAGAAGCTTTTACAACCTTCAAATTTTTCTTCACTGCTTGGATTTTACTCATAGGAACTTTCTTTTTCTCTTCTTTTTCTCGTTGCTGATCTTTTACTGGCGTACCCGATTTACCCGTACCCGTTTTGCCCGAAGAGCACGTTTTAGTTTTTACACTTTATAGCCTTAAAATTTAAACAAAAATAGCAACAAGCTTCCGAAGATAAAATAACACAATACTAGCAAAACCGTAACGTAAATTTTTTGAGAACATATCATACACTATTTTTAAGTAAACACAATTATTCCAAACCAATATTTTTTAATGGAAATTGCAAAAAAACATTTTTTTAGCTTACTTTGAAAGCGCTTGTATCACTGTAGCGAGCCGACTGCATGTGATTGGTTGATGCTCGAGGCACCACACTGTACTCATACATTTGCAATTTTACTTTCGGCGCGAAAATTCAAAAGGCTACCCGTTTTAGGAGGGGTACCTGTTTTAGGCCCACCTCCCCTAAGCATGCTCCATCGTAAGTCGCATTATCGTTCACCAGATGTTATACCGGAGTCCCAATCCTTCCCCTCAAGCATCCTCAAGTCCCTAATGCTTAAAAGATCGGTAACGCACTCGTAACTCCTATTGTATCCTATGTTATTGCGGGTGTCCATAGGCGGCGCTGATTTGCCAACCATCAGGTAATCCGTCAGAAAGTTTGCCGACCAATGACTTTAAAAAAAAATTTAACACGTCTCGCTCGATTTGCCGCCAAAAATACTGTTGTGTACAATGATATTATAAGTAAAATGGTATAGCTATGTTACATAAACAACATTCGATTTTCAAAAACGGCACACTTATGCACACATGAATAAATCGTATGATACACGTTAAAGTGAGATGGCATGATTCAATAATCGCGAGTGAAAAAGAGACAAATATGAAATATGAAAATTAAGTGTCGGAGAGCCATGCTTCGGCACGAATGGGTCGGCTCGACCGGAGTGATAACACGGCCTCACAGAAAACCGGCGTGAAATAACCACAGAGTTGTGTTTCGCCGTGTGAGTGAGGTTACCGGAGGCCCAATCCTTCCCCTCCCCCAATCCCTCCTCAATCCCTAAAAGGTCGGCAACGCACTCGTAACTCCTCCGTTGCGAGTGTCCATGGGCGGCGCTGATTGCTTACCATCAGGTATTCCGTCTCGTTTGCCGACCTATTATGTTATTATACATACAAAAAAAAGTGTGGCTAGTTAGCCACATTTTAATGTATCACTTGGTGAGCGCTTGTAACCTATCTACACCTTTTTGCCATCTTTTCACTTGGAATATCATTGGTTGTGTGAATATCGTTCGAAATCCCTGGCCTAAATAAATGAAGGAGCGTTTTCTATCTAGCTAAAGATAAGTGTTTACGTGGAGGCGTTATCAGCATTGAAATCTTTTTAACCGACTTCCAAAAAGGAGGAGGTTCTCAATTCGACCGTATATATGCTTTTTTTTATGTTTGTTCGCCGATATCTCCGGTATTTATGAACCGATTTTGATAATTCTTTTTTTATGTATATTCAACTGATTGTGTTGGACCAGCATATCAGTCTAATCTGTCAATACGCTCATTGAAAATTTAACTTTCCTCTGTCTAAAAGAAAATATTTCTACTTATATTAAAAATCGTGATTCGCACGGGTGCAATGCCGGCTTCATCTAGTTTTTCACATATAAATTGACGTGTAAAAGTGCCGTTTTATGGCCTATTTGCAAAAATAAATTCATTGTTTCATTGTTTCAATGTATGCTATCATACATATAAACCTTCATCATCTATCAAAATCACTTTCTCTGTCCCTATATCCCGATGTATGCTTAAATCTTTAAACGCAACTGATTTTGATGCGGT